ATTATTCATAAACTATTTAAAAAAAATTTTTACAACTGTATTGTCGCAAATATAAAAGCGTTTTTTTATATCTAACTATAACTATAATTATTTTATTATTTCGAAATACATATATATATATATGTATATGTTTATATATATATATATATATGTTTTTGTGATACTTTTTTTATATGAAATAAAAAAAAATCATTTGAATTTAAAATACTGTTATTTTTTCCTACTGAATTATAATAATGTGCTATAATAATTTGTCTTTACTTGAAAGAGAGGGGGAATCATTATATCGAAGATTCTGAATAAGGGAACCATAGTATGTTGGTACGTTCCTGTGAGTCATGATCATTTGTGCGAAATTGTGTTATCAAATATTCCAATATTTTCTCTTAAAAAAATCCTATCATAATTAAATAATTTAACTTACTTGGAAAATCCCAATGAGAGACCAACCACAAAAAACTTTAACTAAAAAAGAAAAGAAATGAGATCCACAATCCACGATCTACAATGAAACAACGATCGCGTGGCCAGTGAATTACTGTTCTGATAACGATCAAACGGATGGTAATAAAAGCGATAAAAAACGAAATCCATTAGTACAAATTTAATTAAAAAATACTATTTGTCAGATATGAAAGACGTTTTTTTTTTATGTTAATTTGCATCTTACTCGCACGATAACATTGTTTTCTACTCTATACACAGTAAAGGTAAGAGATTTTGCGATTACATGAAGAATATTTATCTTTGACTTTTCATATGTGAAAAAATGAATTTGAACATGTTAATTCTTATAAATGATAAAATAATCAATTAAACAAATAAAAATAGAATATAATAATTAATAATTACGATAATTATAACGCAAGTCAACAATTCAATATCAATTTCTACTAGGTTTCTTCTAATAGATTACTTTTATTATAATATATTATTGCATTTTTATTTTTGATATTTATATTTTAAATATTTTAGATGAAATTTAAATTTAATATTAAGTTGAAAAATTTAGAAATAATTTTTTAATTGATTTTTTGATCCTGAATATTTTTCATCGAATTCTTTTTGACATGAAACAATTGTATATGGAAATATATCATCGAGTTATAAAATTCTGGATTATTTAAATATTTTTTAAAATACTATTCTCACTATTATTGATATTAATTAATAATTTCATTGAATTATTATTTTTAAAAAACTTTCTTACTTTACTTTAATTTTCTTTAATTAATTTATCCATTAATCTTATCATTTTATTCTTATCTATTTTTTACCTCTATATCAATAATGTAATTTGATATATTATAGATTATATAGATATATATTAGTAGAAAAGATATATTAATAGTATTATTTGTTTGTAATAATATGAAAGATTTTGTAATAAAAAAAAAAATAAAATAAAGAAATCAATATTAAAAATGAAATTATTTATTAATTATTTATTAATTATTATTATACAATATTAAAAAGAAAGGAGCATAAAAAAATATTAAAAATAAGAAATAATTAAAATATTTTCAAAAATACAAAATTTTTACTAAGTTGTATATTAATTTCAATTTAATTCTATAAATAAAAAAAATTATATACAAAATATTTAAATACTGCAAAAAAATAAGTTTAAAATTCATTATACTTAAATTTTAAAAAAAAAATTTTTAACAAATTAAACTTAATTATATTCTGTTCCGCAGAAATAGTCATGCCGTTATTCAAATCACGTACTACTCCTAGATCTTCCACACCAGAGAAAGAAAAAATTTTGAATGGTGAAACTCATTACCATAATAATGATCGCAATCAATCGAATGGAAACAAGAGTGATCAAGAAGGTTCTCAAGGAATTTTTGATCAGCAACAGAACAGTAATCAAGAGCAAAGACGATCTTCTAAAATTTCTAATTCTCTACCTGTATTTCATTGTCAATTAGCACATGGGAGTCCAACAGGGTTGATATCGGGATTCAATAATGTACGAGAACTTTATCAAAAAATAGCGGAATGTTATGATATACCAATCGAAGAAGTAAGTTTTTTTATGATTTAGACCTGTCTCTTCATTAATTGTTTGATAGAAACAATTTATCTAATATTTGAATATATATAATAAATTTATCATAGAAATCTAAATTTTTTTTATGTGTAATTAATTTTCTAAAATTTTCTTATAATTTTTTATATAAGAATAAATAAAATTTGTTTAATACATATAATTATTTATTATAGTTGCACTTTATAAAATGAAAAAATAAAATATCGATATATACATTTAATATTATATTTAAAAAATAATTTTTTCTACGATTTATTTATAATATACAAATAATGTTCTTTTCGTCGCATGGGAAGAATATCCCGGATACAGGAAATATCGGTTCCGCCTATGGGCTCCGACCTGGCGAATAGAGCTAAATGTAGCTTTTCGTATAATAATAGGTCGTAAAAGACAATATTAATATCTATTTAATTACTATCAAATTACAGCATATATTTTTATCTATGTAGTAAATAATTTAAATCAGAAGTAATATTGATTCAACTTTCATAATACTATTTAAAAACTTTTGTGAAAGTTAATTTTTAATTAATTATATTATATTTTAATTAGACGAATTTTTAAAAGTGATGTAAAAATTGAATAAAAAACAAAAAAAAATAAACCACAGAATATAATAGGTAAAATTAGAATAAATATTTAAATAAATATTAAAAATAATAATTTTTAATAATTATCTTTTTGATATTTTGATTCTTTCATATTATTAAATATAATAAAAAGAATGAACATGATAAAAGAAATATTATAATGATTGGGAAGTTTATTTTGATGATCTTTAATTACTAATCAACTAATATTTCAATTTTTAATTATAGCTTCAATTTAGAAGAAGAATAAATTATGATATAAAATTTTCAAAAAACAATTCTTTATTATTTCAGATACTTTTTTGTACTCTGAATACTCATAAAATTGATATGAATAAATTGCTGGGGAATCAAATAGAAATAGGAGACTTTATATTTGCACATAAAAAAGGTAATCGCGAATTTTATAATATTTAAATTTTATAATATTTAAATTTATTTAACATTATTTCGAGTATTATTTAATTTTTTAATTTTTATTGCATTAATTATTAATTTTTATCAGGAACACCTAAAGAAATAGAATTAACCAAAACGAACGACTCTTTTGGATTAACAATAACCGATAATGGTGCAGGATATGCTTTCATAAAACGTATCAAAGAAGATTCGGTGATTGATAGGATAAAAGTAATTCAGGTTGGAGATCATCTTGAAAAAATTAATTCTATTAGCCTAATTGGCAAACGTCATTTAGAAGTAGCAAAAATGTTAAAAGAAATTCCTAAGGGAGACACATTTACTTTAAGAATTGTGGAACCATTGAAAAATGGGTTTGCCAATATTGGTCCACGGGGAGATATGAAAAAAGGAAAGAAATCCGGTTATGGAACTGGAAAAGAAACTCTTAGATTCAAAGCTGATGGAAGTGCGCAAATTATAGAAAAAGTAATTTTTTAATTAATTATCTATTTATTATTATTTATTATTATCTATTTATAATTATCCATTATTAAAAAATATTATAGCATAAATATTTATAAAAAATTATTTTTTCTTTTTAATTTTTAACTAATAGGTGGATGATGCTGTTACTATCGGTATAGAAAAAATTAACGTGATATTGGAAAGTTTTATGGGTATTTATGACACAGAATTAGGTATACAATACATATTATCATTCAAACTATGTTTTATTGTATTTTAAAAATACAATATTTTTTGCAAAATTCAATTTAAAAATGTATTTTTGAATAATATTCATCAAATTTATTTATTTAAATAGCTACACAAATCTGGGAACTTGCAAAAGACAAATGCAATAGTATAGAATTTGCAGAAGCAATCGATAATTCAGATTTAGAAGATTTTGGATTTAATGATGATTTCGTTATCGAGTTATGGGGTGCTGTGACTGATGCCAGAGCTGGAAGACACCGATGATATTAAGATTTACATTAAAAAGTTATATCAAGATTATATGAATGAAATTAAACAAATATAAACTATTCTTTATTATCATGAGCTTATTTGTATTTTAGAAATATAATACATAATGGAACTGTAAATTATTTATAAAAACTAACATTTAGATTTGTACAATTTATATTATATTATATATTATATATAAATTTATACATTTATATAATTACATATGTAGAATTAAATAAAATAAAAAATAAATATATTTGTACAAATTAAATAGCATGTTTCTAAAATAATACATATATAATATAACTAAAAAGAAAAATAGTTAATTATTCTTTCAAATGATTAAATCTTTATTATATTTTTTATAAATATGAATTATATTATAATTAGCAATAATTAATCAATAAAATAGATTATGTTTAAGTACATATATTAATTTTTATTTTGATTTTTTTGAATATAGAATTCGTCAAAATAAAAAAAATTTTATTTTATATATCGGTTCGGTTTTTAAATTCGAAATTATTTCCTTTTCAGTATATTATTATAATTATAATTTATATATATAATTATAATATATTAATATAATATATTAATTATAATATATATATAATATAATATAATATAATATATTAATTATAATATAATATATAATATATTAATTATAATATATTAATATATATAATTATAATTTTAGAAATATTTTATATGAAAAAAAAAAATTGAATGAAGCTTGATATTACGTATTACGTATCGTGAATTGATATTATTATAAGTCATTTTATTGTATGATGTATGATTTTATATTTTTTTAATATTCATTCTATAGTTATATTATTACAAAAACAGAAAAAAAATACAATGGATTAACTAAAAATAAATTATTTTAAAGCTCATTTTATAAAATAATACAAAGATAAATAAAAATTTAGCAAAAAAGGAAATTTTTTAATGGAGTGATAATTGTGCAAATTATAATTGTGTTTCACTTAGAAGAATTTCACAACTTAATATTTTCTCTTATAATCTCAGGATAATTTTTTCTTATGTAAATTTATAATTAAACTGATAATAAATAACTGATATTTTAAAAAACTATTATCTACATTATATATATATATATTTGATAGTTTAGTATGTTGCTAGTATAAGTAAGCTACCTCGCTTAAATGCGCCGCAAAATTTAATATATAAAATCTGAGAATTTTATATATGAAAAATGGTTTTTGCCATAACTAGAGCCTGTTGTTTATTTTTCCGTGCTAGCACAGGATTTAAAAATAATTATAAAAATTATAAACACTTAAAAGTAAGTAATATTGATATAAAAACTAAATAACCTATACTTTTTTAAATAGTTTATATTGTTTTATATTTAGATTAATTATATTTAATATTATGTATATTTTGAAATTTAAATATATTTTGTTTATAATTTTATTAGTTTTAAAATGGATAATTTATTTATGAATAAATTTAGATTATTATATCTATTATATTACTTTTTTTTTTAAATTAAATAAAGAAATATTTCTTTTATCAGATCTGTTCAGTAAATTTCTCCATAAAAACTGATATCTCTCCTCTAGAAGAAGAGGTCCCAAAATTAATACCTCCAATTGGAGATGGAAAAATATTTGAAACTGTAGAAGATGCTATATCGGATATGCCAGATGGTGCTAAACTTCTGATTGGTGGATTTGGACTTTGTGGAATTCCTGAAAATTTAATTTCAGCTGTGTTGAAACGAGGTTCTAAAGATTTAACTGTTATTTCAAATAATGCAGGAATTGAAGATTTTGGATTAGGTATACTATTAAAAGAATGTAGAATTAAAAGAATGATTTCTTCTTATGTTGGTGAAAATCCTGAATTTGAGAAGCAATATCTTAGTGGTAAATTAGAAGTTGAATTAACTCCACAAGTAAATATTAATGATAAGAATTTTTTTATTAAATTTTATATATAGAAAATTTTATATTACATTTTTAAAATTTAGGGTACACTGGCAGAACGTATTCGAGCAGGAGGAGCTGGAATTCCAGCTTTTTATACTCCCACAGCATATGGAACAATAGTACAAGAGGGTAATGTTATTATAAAGTATGATGAAAATGGAAATGCAGAAATATCTGGAGAACCAAAAAATACAGCACAGTTCAATGGCAGAAATTATGTCTTAGAAACTGCTATTACTGGAGATTTTGCTCTTGTGAAAGCTTGGAAAGCAGACAAAGCTGGTAATCTAATCTTTAGAAAATCAGCTAGGAATTTTAATCCAGTAATGTGTAAAGCAGCTAAAATTGCTATTGCTGAAGTAGAGGAAATTGTAGAAATTGGACAATTGGATCCTGATCAGATTCATTTGCCTGGAATTTATGTAGATAGGATTGTCAAAGGTCTTTCATATGAGAAACGCATTGAGGTTTCTATATTTTTATTAAAATTGTTTATTTAATTATTTAAATTATTCGAAATGTTATTAAAAAAATTTTTTTTTCAATTAGAAACGATTTACGAAACAAAATATAAAACCTAAAAAAATAACACCAGCAAGTAAAGCAAGGGACAGAATTATTAGACGAGCTGCATTAGAATTCAAAGATGGAATGTATGGTAAGAAAGAATTTATTTTATTTTTAATTAAAATAATTAAATTATTCTAAATATATTTTTATAGCAAATTTGGGAATTGGTATACCTATGCTGGCTTGTAATTATGTTCCTAAGAATGTAAAAATAACTTTACAATCCGAAAATGGTATCCTTGGTGTGGGACCATTTCCAAATGAGTCAGAAGTTGATCCAGATTTAATAAATGCTGGAAAAGAAACAGTTACAGTTTTTCCAGGAGCTTCTTTTTTTAGCAGTGATGAAAGCTTTGCAATGATCAGAGGGTATATATCCAAAAATTTATATATGCAATTATATGTACAAATAATGTATACAATCTGAACATTAAATTATAACTTTTTAATAAGAAACTATGAATTTCAATTTTTTCAGAGGTCACATTGATTTAACAATACTTGGTGCTATGCAAGTGTCAGAAAATGGAGATCTGGCTAATTGGATGATTCCAGGTACTATGGTGAAGGGAATGGGTGGAGCAATGGATTTGGTTTCTGCAGCAAGTACAAAAGTAATAGTCACTATGGAACATAAAGCTAGAGATGGGAGTCCAAAAATTTTGAAAAATTGTACTTTGCCTGTTACAGGTAATATCAATAAAATGAACATATAAAAATATATACACATATATAAAGATCATATCTGTTAAAATATTTTGTAAGAGAAAAATATTCACTCATATTAATTTTAGGTCAACAATGTGTCGACCTAATAATTACAGACATGGCAGTATTTGAAGTGGTTCAAGGAGAAGGATTGAAATTAATTGAAATCGCACCTAATATTGATATTAGTGATATTGTTAGTTCTACTGGTTGTGAATTTTCGGTAGTTGATGATCTTAAAGAAATGGGACAAGTGAATTTAGATGATTGTCAATAAATATACATTCTTATATTCTTTTAAATATAAAAAATAGATATCAAAAATTTGTTTTTAAGAAAAACAAAGGGAAATATTGATATCAGGAAAGTAATAATTAAACTATTATTTTTAAATTATAAAATTACAAAATTATCTTTTATCTCTAAGAACTGTAAAGTTTAAGTTTTTAAGAATTGTAAATTTAATATAAATACTTTATTTTATGCAATACATATAGTAGTTAGGATTTAATAAAGGTAATATATTTTTTGTATTATATCTTTTAAGATTAAAAAAATAATAAATTCTGAAAAAATCAAATATTTTTCTTATATTTTTAGCATTTTAAAATTTCCAAAAATTACTCTCTGAATTTGGCTTTTATTCTTGCTGGAAGTGGTAATAAATACAAAACACTATTTAATATACTTAATCCAACAGCAAAAGCCAATGAAATTAATAAATTTAAGTCAACATTTAATACTTCTGAAATATTTTCACCTTCACGTGTAAAGCGTTCTATTAAATAAGATCTTCCATCTGGATATCTACATAATTCTGGTATTCCTGGGCATGTGAAACTCTCATTATAATGTAAATTTAAAAATATGGGCACATCAATTGCTAATTGATTTAGAGCTAATGATGCATATCTAGCAGGTAATGTAGTAGAAATTGCAGCAAGCCAATAAGGCAAGCCTTTCAGACTCCTTATGGTACCTGATGAAACTATCAAAGATACTAATGTCATGTACAAGACTATTATTCCACCTGTAAAAGGTTTGCCAATAATCATAAGCACAGCTACAGTTATTTGTTCTGCTGCTACATAGCTAGCCCATAAAACACCACAGGCATAAGCCCAAGTGGATAAATCTAGCTCTAAAATAGGTACGAGAATACCAATAGTAATCATAGTGGATACGAAACTCAATGGCAAACTCAATAATGCATATGCAGTTAAGAACATAGCTCCACCATATAGACCTTCTCTTTTTTCTTGATAATATCTGGCTCGATATCCTGGAACTTTATAAATAAAATAAATTTTATAATATTAAATAATCTCTTGAATTGGATAAAAAAAAAGATTAACACTTACAAAGAAGAGCTGTGCATGCTATTCCAACAACATAGAACAATGTTACTACATTAAAAACTAAACCACCTGTTTGTAGAAATATTCTGGATTGTACAGGAGTCGAATGTGAATATAAAATGCTCATTAAGGCTATAGAAAATGGCAGCAATAATAATCTAGCAGCAAAGTGTCCCAAACCACATTTATTGAAAGCAAATGTTGCTGCCATACCTCTCCTAAAATGTGAAAAAAAATATTAATACTAATTATTTCAGAAAAAGTATTTACTATAATTATATTTATAAAAACATACAAGTAAAGAGCAAATAGAGTAGAGAAACATCCTGGTTTAATCCCTCGTCCTAAACCTTTGTGCATAATTCCTAAAGGCGTATCTTTGACATTGGGTGGAACTTGGGGTGCCTCTTTCATATAAATAACACCTTCAGCTTTAAATTTTTCAACTAGAACAGATATCTGCTGATTAGATTCTAAAAAACGATCTCTAGAGCGGCGATCGACAGTTGATAGACACACTAAAATTATAAATATTATTATTTAATAGAATTTAAAATTATTTATTTTATTTTTTAAACAAATACTTACAATAATACATTAAAGGATTTTCAAGTTCAGGACATGGAAAACCGATATAAGTAAAATAATCTAACATACTCCGAGTTGGCCCTGAATAAACCACTGCTCCTAAACATAAAAGAGTCACTCGACTAACGAAAGGTAGTACATCTGATCTAGGAGTTTCCATCGTTAAAACAACAATGGATCCCCTTCTAGTTGCATAAGACCAAAGCATAGAAACAATTAAATATGTGTTCAAAGGATCGGTATCCCATGTAGGTTCGTCCAAAAGTAACAATGTGGGATCTTTAGCTAATTGCACTCCCAACATTAGTCTTCTGTATTCCGGCTTTGTTAAATCATTTACTGATCTATTTGCGACTTGAGATAAAGCCAGATCAGCTAAAGTTTGTCGAAGCCTTGCTTCTCTATTGTTTAAATTAGCAAGCCATGTGGCATATATCAATGTCTGTCGAACTGTTAGACTAGGTAATAAATGACATCTATGAGCAACGTATCCACCATGTCGTCTGAATAATTCTGGAGTTAATAAATTATTATTTAAGGTGACTCTACCCCTAGTTTCTCCCTCTGCTCTTCCGGCTAAAAAACAAAAAACTTCTAAGTGATTCTTGATCTAATTAAAAAAATTTGTAATTGAATCATTATCTTACCAATTACATCGAGTAGAGCTCTTTTTCCAGATCCTTTTGAACCCAGAATTGCTAATACTTCACCACCATGAACTCGAGCGGATACATCTCTTAACACTGCAGTCGGTTCTGACTTGCTTAAACAACTTCCTTCAATAACTACAGTAGTGGAATGAAATACATTTGAAATATCTAAAGTACAGTCCGATGGGATCATTCTGAATCTATTTGAATTACTTCATAACGATCCTTTGAAAAAAATAAACTTATATTTAACGAGAATAAACTACAATAAATTTTAAAGATAATTGCATTAAAACAAAGAAATAATCATTTTTCCAATGATAATATTTGAATACGAGGATTGTATTTAGAAATACGCGTAAAACAGACAAAACGCTGTAAAGTCTAGCACTGTGATTAGAGAAGTGAACATTGCAAGTAAAATGTAGCCAGTAATAACGATACCTGGCTGGGAGTTGGCTTCATGAGGTGAATGTCTCCTTTGAGAAGAGTTTGGTGGGAGGAAGGTAGTATCAGTAGTAATTCAAGAATGTATTCATTAATTTCAGTTCCCAATCCTCTCTTCAGCCTTCTCATAACGCATGAAAGAAAAAGGATCTTTTAAATAACTCTTCTTTCAATTATTTATCCCTATTACTCTTTTAAAAATATTTACAATTTTATATACAATATTTTTCATGCTTTGAATAAAGTTTACATATGTTTTCAATTATAATAAACTATTTCTAAATGTTTATTGAATATCAAAGATAAAAAAATGGAATTAAAAATTCATTAGAAAAGAAAAATAGGTGTCAATCAGTTTGGAAATTCATATAATTGAAACTCAGGGCCCAGATATTCTATAATTACGTCACTGCGAACTTGAAAGATCAACGAGGAAGGAAGGGAACATAGAGAGGGGAATCCGTTGGAGGTTCGGAAAGCACGTCTGTCAAAAGGCAGCGTTTAGAAAAGGCTCTTCAACGTTGAACATACCGATGCCATTGCGGTATCGCAATCGCGGATCGGGTGATGCGTTCACGGGTCCTTTGTTGTGCGATTCTAAGTTGACGATTGTAGTGTTTGTCTTTAAAATTTTCATCTATAATCATCAAGAAGAAGAATAACAAAGAAGACCAGGAAGGAATCGGCGGAATGGAGGAACAGCATCACCTTGACTCGATCAGACTCGCTTGAAAGCTCATCCTGAATACCGGTGGTGAGTCATTCTCACAAAGATTCCCCAGGATGTATCAGATTTCATGGCACGCGCAATTCCTGATATTCACGTTTCTCTTTTTTATATGTTCTGCTAAAAAAATAGATAAACATATATAATTTTTTTTTCTTCTCCTGAGTAAAAAAGTATGATTCATGGATAATTGCAACATTTCTTACCCAAGTTCTTTAAAAAGTGCAAGAGCAGTACCTTAGAATGCCTTAAATGATTTTCATAAATCTTTTCATGGAAAAGAAGGAAAATATAAGGAATACGGGTACATAATTCCATGGCCAGTCATGGTTCAATGACTGGAAACCTGATTTTGCATAACAAGAAAAGTTCTCCTGATACAGGTGACACAGATGAAAGCAATAAAAGATTAAGAACTACTTTCCTTAAAAAAAATAAAAATAAAAATCTTAGTTATTAACAAATTTTTCAATAAATTAGTAGCTTATGAAACATTGAAACAATATTCTTTTTAACAAAGAAAAGGAATTCAATGAACGTAGTTAATATTCCGTAACCACACTTTCCTCTTGATGATTTTCATTTCACTGTCGATGCTTTCACTCGCTCGATAATAGTATTATAATGCGAATTAACTAAAAATTAATCATCATATTTCTTTTTTTGCAATTAATAGTTTTAGTTAAATGAATGGAAAAATTGTGAAGGCTATATATAATAGATAAGATCAATTTCGAAATGAAAAGATTTTATTGTGAGTTTTAATAATATTATGAATATAAAAAAAATGGCTAAATTCTTTGAAGAACAACGCTAATGTTTGGAGATTTCAATGAACGCATAAGACATGTTTCCCTATACCTTCCCACGTGCCATAGACGGTAGTCTGGTCAATTTGCAATGTTAATTAATTCTTTCTTGTCGCCGACAGGGATACTTCTATAGAATATTGAAAAATCCGGCGGCACTGACCTCAGTGCACGTCTATAAAACGATCTTTATTCTATTGTGTACTTCAATAACGGAATGAATACAAATAATTAAGCTCTTCAAATAAAGTAAAAATTAAACATAAAATAAGAAAATTAATTGCTTTTTGTTTACAAAAATATAAAAGCAAATAAAAAGTGACAACTAAATTCTTTGATTGCTTTTAATAATATTTTTATATAATATTTATACGAAGTAAAAAAATATTATTTTAAGAATTTCAATAATTTTATTTATTTATTTATTTTTATTTTATTATTTCTTTCTATTTTATTTTATTAGTGGAATATTTCTTTTTAATTTTTAAAATTCTAAATTTGGACTAAACAAAATAAAATTCTTTATAAGTAATACTGTAGTGTAAAATTTTGTGTTATAAAAAATAGATATTTATACCAAACCAGCATAATATACTTTCAATAGAAAACATGCTGGTACTCGTTATCGTTTCTGATAATATTAGTGTCAAGGTTTGTATTCTGACCAATGCATCAATGCATAATTCGGTGAATTTTTCATACTTTCTTGTACGCGATATCCAGGCCATGATTTATTAAGACACGTTCTTTATCACGTGTATACGAGATTGAAAGACATGTTCATAGAAATCAGTGCGTGGGATAGTCTCATAGTTAGCGGAAGAAATTTCGAAACCAGAAATTAAACTATCCAAGTCTAAAAATATATTAATTTCATGTATTGTATATATTCATTGAATATAATATATAATATCGAAATATATTTATGAATTAAAAATAAGATAAAAGAAACTAGTCTCACGAGATTATTATATATTTATTATAAAAAATAAATGAGAAATAAATTTTCTAAAAAAAAAAAGAAATTGCTTCTATTAGTTATTAAATAATAAGAAAATAATTTATATACTTCCTAATAAAATGAGTTTTCTCTCAAGTTTCACTATGATAAATCATATTTATTAATTTATATTTCATAATTCTCTAAATATAAAAATAAAAATAATCACAAGGATTAAAATCAATAATGTATTTTGCTAAAAAAAAAAAAAAAGAAATAGTATAAAAGAAGAATGTTATCGCCACATCAAGTTACATGCATGTTCATGATAGTTAATCCATTTAAAATGGTTGCTCTAGTGGCACACAACTATTGCTTTTCATCATGAAAGCTTATATTCAGTGAATTGAAAAGTGAATTTGCATACTGCTTAATATCTGACGAGAAAAATCATCGAACCGTAACACACATATTAATTATATATTATCTTCTACAGAGCTAAATTATGCTTTATCGAATTCACGATATGTCGACAATTTTCAGAAAGTATAACTAGAAATTTTTAAACATTGAAGAAACACAGATATAAGAAAGAGAAGAAAAATGTATAGCGGCCAGTTTGATACAACTGTTGCAGAAACGGGATATGCAAATGAACAGTTAACTTGAATATAAGATAGTTATCTGATTTTAAAAAAAAGCTATGCATGACATTACGTAAATCAAGAAAAAAAACGTGGTCGATGATCGAGACTTATTGGATCATAATATTAAATAAAGAGAAATCAATGTGAATATGGAATCATGCAGAATTTCTAATTAAATTCTTAATATGATAATAATAAAAGTAATAGACGATAAATTTCTATTTCATATGCAGATATACTTTTTTGTAACATGAAATTAAAATTATAAATGAGAAAAAAATTGTTCTATGAAATTATCAAAGATAAATAAAAAAATTTTTAAATTTAATTTAAATAAAAATTTCTGATTACTTTATAGAATTTTACAGTTCAATGGAATATGATGGAACAAAGTTTGCTAGTTGCCTATCGAGAGTGATGAGTAATTAGTAATGGAAATAACATAGAATCTTGACTATTTTCAATTGTACCGTTATACGATGATAAATAGAAATCTCAGCTGATGTTAAAAATGTGTGGAATTTTATAGATAAAAAAAATCCATTAAATAATAGACTATTTTCATTTTATTTCAATTTTAGACTATTTTCATTTAATGGATTTTTCATTTAAGTCATTAATAATTTTTATGTTATTTCATCAAAGAAACTATTCATTTATAAGTATTTGCAAGAAAAAAAAGGAAAAGAAATTGACTAAACATAATGGTTCATAGTAAAAGTCTAGAGAAATATCCTTTGTTTGAAGCAACTGTTAAAAGAATGGTTAGTTTCGCGCAAACATACAGCAAGTGAGTCAACATCTAACGGGAAGTCACTTGGCAGATGAAAAAAGATGTTTCTATGATGACATCTGACTAATGTTATTTGCATGGACCCAATATAAAAAGAATATTATCTCAAATGACTATTCTATTGTGCTTATTAATTTTTTGAGATTATTAAGCTTCATGACTTAAAACAACTTTATCATTTTATGATTTTTAAGTATTTTGATATCATTTAAACACATGAACGAATAATATGACAAGAATAAATTTACAAGAATAAATTTTTATAAAAATTAAAATGATAAGGATCAAGATATAACGAAGTAAAAAAATACTATTTTAAGAATTTCAATAATTTTATAATTATTCAAAAATCTTATATATATTTTCAAGTTCATCATGAATTACACCGTTAAAAGGAATGTTGCTTAGCTTCTCTTGACCACGTGTGCCGCGCAATGAGTATAGTTACGTGAATGTGTAAGACTAAATAGCATTCTGTATAAACTTACCGGGATATGAAGCAAGCTACTCTTGCGAAATCGGCTTATTCGTTCCAAAGGTATTCAATGAACTTTGTTTGTGATACGCAGTAACGTTCTGAAATTAAAACAGCATCATTATGACTAAAAAAAAGAAATTGAGGAAAAAGAAAAATTAAATTATAAATTGTTGAGCAATATTTTAAAAAGATTTTAAAATCTTTTAATGAAAAAACTTATGAATTTCAAACTATTAAAGATACTTTATAATTTTTATAATTTTATTAATTGAGATGATGTTTAAGATATTTTTTTTTTTTTATAAAGTTTTTTATAAAGTTTTTTATAAAAATAAGAAATATTAAATCAAATAAACAAAGAAAAAACTTTATGCATTATTTTAACAATAATGGATGATTATTAATATTAAAAAAAATGAATAAGTATGATTCAAAATTAAAAGAATGTAATAATAAACTAATATTAATTTAAAAATTAAAGACAAAAATAAAGGATTTAATTTAAATGAAATTG